ATTACTCAATACTTTTCCAGAGATAATAGCAATGAAAAGAATTATTGCACTTCCCTATATGTTTATTAGCTATTCAGTCAATAACTTGATTAAACCTTAAAGAGCATATGTGACACTGTGAGAATTCATAATGATTTTTTTCTGTCATCACATTGCATTGAATATTATCTAGAGAATATGGCTGCTCGTTTGTGGGATTTTCTTTTTGAGAATTTTTAGATAAAGCTTTGATGTGAAAATTAGGAATTAGATTCTAACTTGACGCCACAATCTGTGAGATTTGAGCCTATATAGGAATTTTCTTTTGAGAGACCTCACTGTAGTGGCACTCTAGAACTTGATCTGTTTCTTTGGGATGCATGCATGAATTGAAATGATAAAGGCATTTTTGTTCTTGTTAATCACTTGGCCAAATAGCCCACCTAAAAAGAATTTTTTTCCATTGCTAGCCCCTTTGAGGCTTAGACTGATTTTTGTTCAATTTCTCATAAATTACTTAGCTTATATCCTTTATTCTCTCACCCTTAAATGAGATTGAAATATTGATCAAAGAAAATTTAAGGTGAAGTGCTCCATTGAAAGTTAAGTGATAAAAAGGAAAAGAGTACCATAAGGAAGAATAAATATGTCTGAGAAGAGGATGTGTAAAGGAAAAGAAAGAAAATGTGAAAGAAAATTTATACTCTAAATTATTAGTAAGAAGAAAGAAAATGTGGTGAAAAAGGAATAAAAATCATGAATTGAAAGGAAGAACTAGTAAAATATTGTTTGAGAGTTGACTGAGCCTTGAATTAAATTAAATGTGTTTCAATCTCACACAATAAAATTAATTACTTTTCAAATATTCTTACCCCTAAACCAGGTCACGTTACAACCCTAAAAAGACATTTGGATCACTTTTTGCATGTTATCTATGTTTCTTATCTTTAGGAACTTGAGAATAAGCTCAAGTCTATGGTAGTGCTATTACACTGCTGGATTGAACGATTATACCCAAACACTTGAGTGATGAGTGTATTGTTTATCTTAGTGTGGGAGGTATTCAAGTTAGATTCTAATTTTCTTTTTGAAACTGAAAAGTCTTCTTTGAAATTCTTAACACTGAAAGTCATTCATGCTTAGCATAGTATTCTCATGAGCTTATGCTATAAATTGTTTGTTTTGATGCAATGTTATGCTTGAATTTCATGTGTCTCTTCTCACAATGTTACGTTTCTGCTTCAATAAAGAGATAAATTGAAAAAAAATAAGTAGAGTTATTTTAGATTTCTAAATCATTAAAGATCTTATCAATATACCTGAAGTATGTAGAAAAGACAGCCATAAAATATAAATGAGCCAGCTTTTGTACAGAGGGCAATTTTTATATCTACCCCACCGAGTATTTAAAGCTCCAAATGTTGGAAGAAGAAAAATCGCGGTTGTCTAACAATTCAAGGTTTTGAAAAGATTAGTCTTTTCGTAACATCAAATGACAATTTTAGAGGAGCCCAATCTAATATTATAAAGATCTATTATTGCGATTTTAATTTAAATGAGAGTAAATTGTATCAACTTCTTAAAGAGCACACGAGCATGGCCAAACAAGTAAATCAATTTGTATGTGATTGTTCAGTTTAATTAGTAGTATCAAATTTGAATTTTGAATATGCAACCGCATGTTAAAAATTTGGTAGTGAGACTTTTTAAAAAAAATAAATTTAATGAGAGTAAATTGTATCAACTTCTTAAAGAGCAGACTAGCATGGCCAAACAAGTAAATCAATTTGTATGTGATTGTTCAGTTTAATTAGTAGTATCAAATTTGAATTTTGAATATGCAACCGCATGTTAAAAATTTGGTAGTGAGATTTGTTAAAAAAAAATGTAGTGAGAGTTTACTTCCCTTGTTGTAGAATAGTCCAATAATTGATGAACCATTAAAATAAATAAATAAATAAATTGAGCCCAATTTAAATTAAATATAATTTAAAATATATTTAATAACTTGGTTGGTCAACCTGCTCATTTGCATTTCTTTCTTCTTCCAAATTCTAAATAATAATTAGATAACACCTTGTGATTGACTTTTTATAAACGTTTCTTAAATGCACGACATTTCGTTCTCAGAATTTGTTTTTTCTGTTGACCAGTACAGTTAGAGAATGTACAGAATCTAAATGGTAAAACACCTGAACAGTGTTTTAACTTAGGTTTCCATCCCTCCTTTTGGGTACGTGGAAGAAGTTTATTAAAACGCGATGGTCATTAAACAGCAACAATAATGTTCCAAATTTCAGTTGGAAGCTCTTTTAAGTTTTTTCTTTTTTTCTTTTAGTACAGAAAGCTCTTTTAAGTTTTAATCTTTAATACAAGGATGCCCAAATGACTAACATAATGTACATTATAAACAAATAATCTGAAAGTCAATTCGTTAATTTTCAACAATTCCAATTTAAAGTAATCATTTCCAAGAATTTCTCTTTGTCGTTTATGTATACCTGACAAATATATTACAGAGCATTAGTTTAGATTGACTTGTATAAATTAATATATTAGCCCAACAGATAAATTTCGCATAAAAATTGCTAATATATTAACTTAGGAAAGAAAAAAAATCACTACATAAATTATAAATACATGTTTCTTAATCATCCTAACAGGGTGGCTCTTTGACTTGAACATCGATCCTTGAAGTCAATCTCGTAAATTTTAACATTTTGCGTGTAATATGAAAACTCCATGCTTTCAAGTTACGAAGTTTGATATCCTAAAATGTCAACTTCGCTACCTTATCAATCTTATATCGCGCATTAAAATTCAGGTAAAATTGCTAGTGCTGTTGTTTGATGCCAGACCAAGTCCATATAATATGAAAAAGAATTGAGTGAAAGAAACCTAGTCAAAATAATTGCACTTACCGCACATGTTCTTTGTGCAGTAACCACTAACCAGTAACCCTGACCAAACTTAATCTCTAACCAATTTTTTGAAAATATTCTAATCGATTCATTGTTTTGCAATTAATCCGATTCGAGGCGAGTCCAGGATTAAGGTTTTAAACCCTTCCCAAAGATGATACTGGAAAGATTCAAACACATACTCTCACCCCACCTGCTTAACTCCTACGCGCCAAACATTTGGTTTAATCTCTTTTTTTCTTTTTTTTGAAAAACTGGTTTAATCTCTAACCAATCTCATATAATATTATTGACAATTTACTTACCTAAAATTATAGTATTTATAATTGACAAGGTTTTTGTATACTTGGTTCACAAAAAAAAATTCATAAAAAACATTACAATAGGAGTAAAGAAATAAGTCTTCACTTAACGATTTGAACTATTTGATTGATTTTTTTATTGGTATTAAAGCCAATGTGAGTATAGAATCTTGAATTTGATATTCACCACCTTCGGTTATTAATAAAATTAAATCAACATAAAATAGAATAAAATTATAAATACAGGCATAAAAGCATTAAAAATTGTCAAGATAATATATCATCCGTACAAACTCACACTCACACAAAAGGTACATTAACCATAAAATTGAGGAGAGGAAACCAAGTCATCATAGGTCACTTGACTAGCGGCGCACGGCAACGGCAACCCAATTTTCTGCCTTAAATACTCTGCTGATTACTGACCTAATCATGAAGTTGATTTAAGATTGGAGTTCTAAACATTGCTTACTTCACGACAAAAATTGTACTACATTAATGTACCAAAAAAAAAATACAATTGTACTATATTAATTAAATATGATTTTCATACAGCCCGGAATGTGGGCATTAACAAATAAAAGGTTCTCACTTCAATTGGTCAAACTCTCTACCCCATGAGTGAACATGCAGTCCAAATTGATCATGATTCCACTTTTACCATGATCCCCATCTTATTTTTGGCAAAACAAGATTTGGCAGATGAGATATTTGTGGGCACAATGCCAAATGGGAAAGTAGGGAGATACATGGAATTAGATAAAATGTCAGATCTTCTGCAACGTCAGGAATCAGGATCACAAGATTGAGTAATGATGAATAGTGTAACCAGCAGTGACCTCTTTCTCCTTTTCATTTTTCCTTTTCTAAAAATCATTTATGTGTGAACTAGTGACGATGGGTTTATGTAATTTGTAGGAACTCCCAAATTTAAATTTCTGTATTGTCATTTTTTATTAAGTAAAAATTGATGCTAACTTATCAACTGTTAACGTGAATTATTTCAATAATAATTCAAGGCTGTGTGATGATACGACCAAAGATTTTCGTTTAATTAGCAGAATTAAACCAGAAGGTCAATTATAATGAGACAAAAACTTCCATTTTACATCGGTAAGATAATGCATTATTTTATATCCACTGACGTACGAAGTTACAATAATGAGTAATCCATGCCCAAAATAAGTAGCTGCCGGTGCTATGCATAAATAAATAGAGAAATGCGTTTGCACAATAGCTAAGATTATATGGATATAATTAATATACTTTTTGTTGGTACCAAATAATTGAGTATGTTTTCATCAAATTAAAATTTTTGGAGACCTCCTAAGTCAATTTTATTACATATTTTCAAATTTTCTGGAGAAAAATGCTTCTGTTTTAAGTTTGCTGTTTTTTATATCGAAAATTTATTACTTTTTATTATTCTCGTAATTTTCTTATTAGAAAATTAAACAGAGCAGCAAGTTTGGTTAAGTATGTATGTGATCTATCTGCAGCTGTATAGTGCATTCTTCTATAGGAACATGAACAAAGGAAAGGCAACAAAACATGTTGGTGTAGAGGTAGAAAATCAGTATTTAAATGACATCATTGTAGTTAAATTCCTCCCTTGTCATCTAAAATTATATATATATATATATATATATATATATAAAAGAAGAAAAAAAAAAGTCATCTTCTGTCACTATCCTCACCTTCCTCTATACAGCTAAGGACAATTTCTGAAAGATTTTTCTCAGTTTTTCACTATTTTTTTGTTTTTTGTTTTGGTCCAAAAAAACGAGATTAATTAAAGTTAAACTAATGATTGTTTATCTTCATCTGTATCAGCTAACGGTAGAGAATCTTCCTTAATTTCAGCTTTACGAAGCTTCTCTGCATCAACATCTTTGCTGTCCCCAACAACACTTTCAGCTACTGTTCCGGTTAGTGTCTTGGCTCTTTGAGCCTCAACAGCCCAATCAGTTTGACTCAGAACCACCAACATGGTCACTGCACATGAACCCTGAGCGGCGAGTAAGCCAAGCCATAGGCCTTGAAAATCAAAACCAGCAAAGAAAGCTAGCCAAATTGCCACAGGCATTCCCACAAGGTAGAAACATCCAAGATTGATGTTTGCACCAATTTTTGGTCTTGCTGTGCCTCTTAGCACCCCACACCCCGTTGTTTGTGGACAGTTTCCAAGCTCACAAAGCCCTATTATCGGTAACACCATAGATGTCAGGCTTATTATTTCTTTGTCCAGTGTGAACATGCTGGCCCAAGTGTTCCTAACCATTACAGCAAAAACAAAAGCTAAGACACCTAACATGAAGCTGCAAGATAGGCCCACAATAGCAGAGAGCCTTGCTTTTGAGGGCTTTTGGGCACCTAGTTTGTTACCCACTCTAGTGGACACACTGAAGCTCATTGATGATGGGAAAATGTAGAGCAGAGAAGTGGTTTGAATCAAAATGCCCATGGAAGCTACGGTTGCTCTTGGATTTATCAGCAACCCACATAGCAAAATTATGATCTCATACCACCACCATTCAAGGCACACGGAAATGCAGCTTGGAATGGCCAAGTTGAGGAGTGATTTCCATTGTGTAAAGCACTCAAGAGAGAAACCTCCCCATGTTTTCTTATGGGTCCCAGAGAAGACTATATACAGAATCAAAGAAGCTACAAGGTTGAAGTTAGTCCACACCCCACTGAGAGCCACGCCTTTGATACCAAGATTAAGGTGAGAAACAAGAAAGTAATTGATGGGAATGTGAAGAACAATTGCCAAAGTGGCACAAAGGGTCAGAGGCAGAGTAATGGATTGACTTCGAAGGTAAATTCGTAATGGGTGTAAAATGGATTGTGCTAAGAGGTCAGGAATGGAATAGAGAAGATATGATTGGGCTTGTGTGGCTATAGCTTCGTCTTGGCCACACAAGAGAAGGATATGCTTCATGTAAAGCCAAAGCATAGATATGGGAACAGAGGTGAAGAGAAGTAAAAGAATTGTTCTTTGCAAGTAGAGACCCAACAAGGTGAATTTTTTGGCACCAAAGGCTTGGCCACAAATTGGTTCCATTCCCACAGCAAGACCAGAGAGGATTGAGTAACCAGTAATGTTAGCAAAACCAACTGCGAGTGAACCACCGGCTAAGGCAAGTTCCCCAAGGTGACCAAGGAAGAGCATGGAGATCATCGAACGACAATATAGCAAAAGACCAGTGAGGATCATGGGAAGAGCTATTTTGGATATGGAAATTACTTCTTTGAAGGCATCCCTGAGATGGGTTTTCTGGGTTTGCATTGTTGGATCATTTTCTTGCTGGGATGCTATGCCAGTGCTTTTCTGGATCAATGGATTGGTGATCATGTTGGGTTGCTCGTGGTCTTCAATTGAAACTAGGTACTCGGGATTTGAATTGCATTTGCAGTTGACGTGCGAAGATAGCTGACACATAGTTTCTCTATTTTTATGTCTATGTCAAGAAAAGAGAATGGTTTAGAGAAGACTTGAAAGTTGAAACAGAGAGAGAGAGAGAGAGACAGAGAGAGAGAGAGAGATTTGATGAATGAGGAGAATAGGGGGTTTGCAAAGGGTTGTGTGGTTTGTTTTATAGAGGGGATAAAACGTACAGCATGACCGGCCTAAAAATTATATAGTATATACTTTTTAATGAAGATGTGCCATATCCACTTTGAAGAGCAAGATTCAGAAGACAGAAATTTGTTACGTTTTTTTTTTTTTGGAAGAGTCCAATCAAAGTAAAACCAGATCGTTCTAACTTATGCATGTACTAAGAGACATGAGAGGGAGGATCATCCAAAAGTGATACTGTAGACAAGAGTCACACTTTCTGTAATATTAAGGGCCAGCATTACTCCCAGCCAAAGGTTGTCCTTGGACAGTTATACAATGATCCATTTTTGTAAGCAAACCAAAAGCCAAGAGCCCATAAGAGTCCATTAACCCTTGATATATAAGGAGTTCTGCATCTGTGTTTGGGGTTTTAACATATTCCTCGAAGCCAACTCAAGTTTGTTTGCTTCATAGCTTGGTGCACAGCTTAGGACAAGGCCACTTTAACAGTTGGTTCAACCAAGTAATATACCATTGTGTTGCGTGTTGTTTTGTACGTCACCATACTAGAGATGAATCACCCAACTTACCCTCCTTAGTGTCTCCACAAAATAACAAAAAGGCAGTGTTTCATTGCCAATGTTTGCTGTCTACTAGGCTATTAACTTTAGTAGATTTAATCGATTCGATTATTATTTTTTAACGAATCTAAAGAGTCAGTTATGATTAATCTGTCGTTTAAGTTAGTCAGTTAAAATGAAAATTGATCTTACTTCTATTGTTTTAAAAAAATTAACAGGGTGTCAAAAGTTGCAAAGTTTGAAATATGGATTAATTTGATACTAAAGTAATGGATAAAACATTAATTGGTTTTGCAAGTTTACCCATTCATGTGATCATAAAAGTGTAATATTATTTGTACATGAATTTACCCTCGTATAGCTCACAAACCAAAATAATTTGACCACTTTTTCTCGAGAAGGGAAAAAGGAGAGGGGAAGGGATTGTTTCATAGCAAGATGTTGAATTTTTCACCATTGCAAACAGATGTCCTAACCTAACTCTACGCTCAATGTACACGTCGCCATTTTTGAGGTGATTGGGAATCCGTTTGAATGAGATTTTTTTTTCTCTCTTTTTAAAAGCTGTTTTTTTTTTTTAACAAAAAAAAATCTTTCTCATTATAAATTAGTATTTAGATGTCTGTTTGAAAAAAAAAACAAAAGCCAAAAATAAGTTTTTTTTTAAGTTAAAAGTTTTAACTTTTAAAAATAACAGAAACTAAATAATTTTTTCTAATTCTAAATAACTTTATCTTTTACAAAATGTACTTCTAAAATAAGAAATTTTTTTTTAAAAAAAAAAACTCGTCTAAACGGGTATCAGTGTCCAAAGAGAAATTCTCTTCGTGAATTTAAGTTCAGCATGTCGATTTGTCAATTCACTGAGGATGTGTTTAGTTGAGGTTTTCTTTTGGGTAGTGTTTGGTTCGGGAGAAGTTTTTTTTTACTAGGGAAATGTAATTAATAGTAAAATGGTTGGAAAGTGAGTTTGGTAGGAAAATGTAAAAAAAGTTGTTTGGTTGACCCAAATATTACCAGGAAAATTTATTTAAATATGCAAAATCTATGTTCGGGAAAAACTTTGCACTTGTTTTTTCATTTCTCCGGTTATCTCAAAATACCACATCTCAAGTGGTATTCTGTAACAGTGAATTTCATCCAAAAATCAACACATAAGTCATTTTCCCATATATCCTATTTGCCTGGTATTTTTTGAAAAAACCTGAACCAAACGTGGTATTTTCCAATATCCACTTACACTTTCTCATCAATCCCAAAATAAACCTTCAACCAAACACTACCTTGGGATAGATGGAGAAGTGTGGGTAGGTATCCCAAAATGCTATGTTTGGTACAAGTTTATGAGAAAAAAAAAGTCTATGAAAGAAGTTTGCATAGAAAACCATATTTCAGTTGATTTTGTGCTCAAATTCACTGTTTAAGATTACCTCTTGAGATGTGGTATTTATGGAAAACTAGGAAAGTAAAAAAACTGAGAGTGAAAATTGTTATCAAAGTGACCCTCCATTTTGTATTAGAAAATTAATTGTGAAGTTTTAGATTTATGTAATCAAGGACATTTTCGTAATGGTTACTTATTTCCCCATCAATATTTTACCTCAAACCAAACATAGACTTTATAAATCTGACCTAATTTGCCCGATTAAATTTTTTCCAATCAAATAACTTTTTTTACATTTTCTTACCAAACTCACATTCCAACCATTTCCCTATCAATTACATTTCTCTAGTATTCAAAAAATTTCTCCTCAACTAAACGCTTTGTAAAGCGATCCAACTGATTCCACCAACCAGGAAGGTCTATATACAGTGGCATTTTCTGGAAAGAAAATTTCACGTTAGCTTATATGTATTGTTTCTATAAATACTTCTTGCACTTTTTTTAATAAAGATTTATTAAATTCCAAGTTTTTGATTGGACCACTCAGATTATCGACATAAAAATAACACAAAAAATAGAATAACATGTAAATGAACCTCGTGGTCCTGCACTAGTAAATGGTAGTGTTTTTTTAAGGCTGCGTGTCGGCTACCCATTATCTAATAAACATATAATATAACTAGGTAGAGAAGTGTAGAAAAAGCAATTGAAGCTGGTTAAAGTTGATTATATCATGAATTGGTTATGTTTCTCACTTAAATATTATCTGATTTAATACTAATTAAATTATAATTTAATTATAAATTTAACCAGTTAAACCAAGTAAATCATAATTTGAAAGTCTCGTTAGTTTAACAGAAAAATATTTCTGCAGTTAATGCAGATAAGTTATCTGCATTTACTCTCAAAACGACGTCATTTTGGGATTGAAATATTAAAAAATTATAATTATAAAGACTATAATAACCTTGAAAAAAATTAAAATTACAAAAACATTATGTTTTCTGCCCCAGTACGACGTCATATAGGGCTTACTGCATATAACTTATCTGTTGTAACTGCAGAAAAAATGAACCCTTAGTTTAATTTCAGGTTCGGTACTAAAGGCATGTTTGGTGCATAGCATAGCATAAAACCTGATAGTATAAGACCTAATAGTATAAGGTCTGATTGTATAAGACCTTATTAGATTTTAATACTATCCAGTATTTGGCATGATATTGTATAAGATAATATGATCCAATGTTTGGTAATGCACTATATAATATTATATAAGATAAAAAATAATTATTTTTAACAAAAATATCCTTTAATAAATAATTTATATTATTCTTCCAAATATGTCATATGATATTAATTTTTATAAAAATAAAAACCTACAATATTTTAAAAATTAATATATTGAAAAATTATTTTTATTTAATATATTAATTCTTGAGAATTGTACCAGTTACCGATGTTAATACATTAACCCCTTATAGGCCTAATCTCATCCCCTTAGGGCATGTTTGGCTATGTAGCACAGATACCGACACGGGACACGTGACACGATACGACACGACACTTCGACACGTTAATTCTAAAAAATATTAAATTTCGACACGTTATGACACATTTTGATATTATATAATATTTTTAATTTATGTAGTGTATATTACATTTAATATTCAATAATTTAACAAAAAAATGAAACTAAACTTAAAATATTCATCAATTTTGCAAAGAAACATAAGACATCTCAAATATTTATATTAAATGGTAATCGTAATCCAACGAATCTAATAGTTGAAACTAAAAACTCAACGCAACGCCACGTTTAATTTTTTTTTTGAATTTATATAACGCGTGTTGAAGTGTCGGGGAGTATCGGAGTGTCGGAGACGACACGTCAGGATTTTTGAAGTGTCGGTGCTTCATAGATTTTTTATGCATAGTATATGATAAGGCCTGATAGTATAAGACCTGATAGTATAAGGCCTGATTGTATAAGACCTGATTGAATTTTAATACTATCCAGCGTTTGACACGGTATTATATAAAATAATATATTGTGTAAGATAATATCATCCAGTATTTGGTAATGCACTGTATAATACTATATAGGATAAAAATAAATATTTTTAATAAAAATATCTTTTAATAAATAATTTATATAATTCTTCAAAAGATATCATATGATATTAATTTTTTTAAATTTATTGATCAGTGTGTCCAAAATATAAGTTAATTTTTATAAAAATAAAAATATTCAGTATTTTAAAAATTAATATATTGAAAAATTAATTTTTATTTTAATAGATTAATATTGAAATAATATATTAATTTTTTAGAATTACATTGGTCAACGATGTTAATACATCAATCTCTTATCAGGCTTTATCCTTCACCCTTAGGCCGGATTAAGTTATACATCGTTTTGATGTATTAAGGGATTATGTTATATAAGTTTATACTATACGATGGTCACACCAAACAACTGAAAATGTCATAACGTATAGTATAAGCTTATACTATCATGCCTTATACGTCACACCAAACAGGCCCTTAGACTTTATTAAGTTTTACATTGATGTATTAAGGAACTCTGCTGTATAAGCTTATACTATACGATGGTCACACCAAATAACTAAAAATGTCATAACATATGCTATAAACTTATACTATCAAACTTTATACATCACATCAAACAAGCCCTTAAAAATTTTATCAAACAAAAAATAAAATTAGTTCACATTACTGCTGAAGAACTAATTAAACACCTCATCAGCTCAATGCAGGTTTTATTATACCTTGATCATTCCCAGGCTCTCAGCTGGCTAGTAATGCCTACCAGCCTAAATATGTAAAATAAAAAACGAAAGAAAATGTCATAATTAGGATTGTTGGTTCAGTTATTCATCCCTATCCTTCTTTCA